CTCTCTTACGGCGAACATTAGCCACGGCGTGGAAAAATTCCATACTAGCATCTCCCTTAACCACCCATCTCTATTGCCCTCTCTGTTGCCAGTATATTTTCTCACATGTGAAAATGAAAATCATCTCGTCCTCCGTGACATATCTTCTAGCCCATTTCGTATTGCAAAGCCCAATCGAATCAGCCTTGCCGTCGAGATCCCTTATCTCAGCCATTAAGGCCTCTTTACGTACTCGGGAAAGGCTCCCCACATTATCCCCCGATCCCCTAAGGTGATGACGCGATCTCTGAATGCAATGTTACCATTCGTCCAACACGTCGCATAAGGGGCCATAGCGGTGTGATCGGTTTCGCCTTGCATCTACCCAAATTTTATTCACCCTTTCCATGAAACCGGGTTGAAGCAACCACTGGTGCTTAAAGAAGAAGTGTTTTGGCGGCCGTCGTTGGTTCTCACCAGAGTGCAGGATTAAGGGACAGTGATCCGACCCAAGGCGGGTCTCGGCTGACAAGGCACATCTCGGGAACTTCGCCTTCCACTCCGTCGAAATAAAGACCCGGTCAAGCACACTCCTCATAGGGTTATCTTGATTATTCATCCAAGTAAACTGAGCCCCCGCCCTCTATAGTTCAATCAGTTGCAAATCCGCCACCCAGTCATTGAAGTTATCCACCAAACTTTGGTCATTAATCCTCCAATTACTCTTATCGTCTGCCGACCTAATGAGATCAAAATATCCACCAATAACCACGAGGTACTGGGAGTTTGCCACCTTGGCATATATCTCACACAAAAAGTCCAGGGATCTCGAGTGATCCGCTAGACTATACACCACTAAAAGCTCCTACTTGAAATTAGTGTTCTTTTGGAGCACCTCCACACCTAGAAAGAATTCTCCCCTCGAGAAAGAAACAACAAAGGTATCTTTATTAAGGCCTAACAGGATGCCACCCGACCGCCCCGTGGCAGGAACCCACTCCCAATGAAAAGCCATGGTGCCCCCAAGGGAGTCCACCTCCACTTGCAAGAAGGAGGAGCGGATCGTGTCTTGCAGCCCGACAAAGTCGAGATACTACTCCCGGATGTACTCGATCAACTGTCTGTGGCGATCTCGTTGGCCAAACCCCCTCTAGTTCCGAAATAGGCCTCTCATTGCGTTCCTGAGGGGGAACGGACCCCCGCCCCGTCATCTGTGGTAACCTCTCTCCTCTGAGGCGGAATGGCCCGGCCACGACCTCTCCCTCTTCCGCCCCCCTTCTGCGGCCACGGCTCGAGGTCGCTCGACTAGAGGCCCCGACCATCTCCTTGGCCGGTTCCTCAGGTCCCTGAGCCTGCCCCTCGGCCTGGACCTCGACGAGCGTCGTGCGGGCCAAGTCTTGGTGCGCAATGGCCTCGGCGATGGCCGCTTGCACAACCTCTTGTGCCCGAAAGCACTCAGTCACCTCCAGAGGAGATCTCTCCTCCGAGCCTAGCATAATATTTCTATCCTTAGCGACTCTCAAAGATGAGCATTAGAAGCCAGCGCCAACACTTTAAAGGAAGACGTCGATCTAGTTACAGGTTTTGAAGATATGCCTTGGATGGTCTTGCCGGCCTTGAGGGCCATCGCCTTGTCCGTCATCTTGGAAGATTTGGTAGTGGCCACCCTAGCACTGGTCCTTGAGGCCCGAATCGGCGACACGGTCATCGCAGCAACGGGAGGGGGAGCAGGAGATTAGGTCGCAGATCCGTGTCATGGAAGGCCTCAGAAGCCTCCACACAGTCTTCCACCAGCTGCACCAGACTCACCCTCGAAGAGGCCCACCAGCTGCACCAGACTCACCCTCGCAGCACGAGCAATGGATGCGGCGGATAGGATGACAATAATGGAAGCCGCCGAGCGCAGCGCAGGGGACGAGCAAGGCGTTGAAGAGGCGCTCGGAACGGGCGAATACGCAACAGTGATGCCCAAGCCCACCGTGCTTCAAACTCGCCAGGGATTGTGGTGGACAACTCTTGTTCTCTGCTAAGCAGAAATGCACGACTGCTATGAGGATGCTTGCACTAGGTAGCGCTGCCGATGGTGAGATGTTCCGGAAGGGGAGAGTACTGTTGGGGAATGTTGCATGGGAAACAAAAAAAATTCCTACGCTCACCAAGATCAATCTAGGAGATGACCATCTACGAGAAGAAAGATTGCATCTACATACCCTTGTAGATCGCTAAGCGGAAGCGTTAAGAAATGTGGTTGATGTAGTCGAACGTCTTCGCGATCCAATCACGATCCATCCCGCGAACTCCCGATCCAAGTGCCGAACGGACGACACCTCCGCGTTCAACACACGTATGGCTTGATGACGCCTCACCTCCTCGATCCAGCGAGCAATGGTGAAGTAGTAACTTGAGTCCTTTGGAAGCACGACTGCGTGGATATGGTGGTGGTGGTAGAATCTCAACAGAGCTTTGCTAAGCACTATGGAGAGGAAGATGACTGCGAGGGAGAGGGAGGGCAGCGTCGTGGCATAGATGGGTGCGGCAGCCCTCCCTCTACCCCTCTATATATAGGGGGAAGGGGGGAGGAGGGGCACCCTAGGGCTTCCCTAGGGGGGGCGGCGGCCACAGGGGGAAACCCTAGATGGGTTTGGGCGCCTCCCCCTTAGGAGGCTTTTCCCCCAAGGCAAAGGGGGTGGCAGCCCTACAGGCGCCCCCACCTCCTCTGGCTACATGGGATGGGGTGAGGGGGTGCGCACAGCCCCTTAGTGTGCTGGTGTGTGATGTCGCTTGAACTACATCGGTATTTTCCCAAAGAGGAAGGGATGATGCAACACAACTATGGTAGGTATTTCCCTCAGTTATGAAATCAAGGTTATCGAACCAGTAGGAGAACCAAGCAATACTATGTAAAGGTACCTGCACACAAAGAACAAATATTTGCAACCCGGCGTGTAAAAGGGGTTGCCAATCCCTTTCGGGCAATGGTGCCAGAAATTGTCAAATAATGGCAAATAAAATTCAGCGAGGTATTTTTGATTTTTTTTTATAATATAGATCTGAAAATAAAATATGCAAATAAAATAAAAGGCAAATAGCAATATAGATCTACAAATATATGATGGGAAAATAGAGCCCGGGGCCGTAGATTTCACTAGTGGCTTCTCTCGAGAAAATAGCACACAGTGGGTAAACAAATTATATTGGGCAATTGATAGAACATTGAATAATTATGACGATATCCAGGCAATGATCATTGTATAGGCTTCACCTCTGGACTATTCCGGAGTTCCTCGTCACGTCCGGAATCTCATCCGGGACTCCAAAGAACCTTCGGTAACCACCATAATGACTCAACTATACTTATATCGTCACCAAACGTTAAGTGTGTAGACCCCGCGGGTTCGAGAAGTATGCAGACATGACCGAGACACCTCTATGGTCAATAACCAATAGCGGGACCTGGATGCCCATATTGGTTCCTACATATTCTACGAAGATCTTTATCGGTCGAACCTCGATGTCAAGGATTCAGCTAATCCTATATGTAGTTCCCTTTGTCTGTCGCTATGTTACTTGCCCGAGATTCGATCATCGGTATCTCCATACCTAGTTCAATCTCGTTACCGGTAAGTCTCTTTACTCGTTCCGTAATACAAGATCTCGTGGCTAACTCTTTAGACACATTTGTTTGCAAGCTTATTGTGATGTTGTATTAACGAATGGGCCCTGAGATACCTCTCCGTCATACGGAATGACAAGTCCCGGTATTGATCCATGACAACTTAACAGACACCCTCGGAGATACCTGTAGAGCACGTTTATAGTCACCCAATTATGTTGCGACGTTTGGTACACATAAGGTATTCCTCCGGTGTCAGTGAGTTGCATGATCTCATGGTCGTAGGAACATATACTTGACATGGAGAAAACGATAGCAATAAACTTGATACGATCATATGCTACATTTATAGTTTGGGTCTTGTCCATCACATCATTGTCCTAATGATGTGATCCCGTTATCAAATGACAACTCATGTCTATGACTAGGAAACCACGACAATCTTTGATCAACGAGCTAGTCCGGTAGAGGCTTACTAGGGACATGTTGTTGTCTATGTATCCACACATGTATTTGAGTTTCCTATCAATACAATTATAGCATGGATAATAGACGATTATCATGAACAAGGAAATATAATGATAACTACTTTATTATTGCCTCTAGGACATATTTCCAACAAGTGCATGCCTGAAGACCACTATGAGATTTGTCCGTGCCATGATGCAGGTGTTTGCAACTACGATCGATGATGTCTAGAAGCCCGGAGAACAAGTCAACATCCTGAAACAAGATGCAGACCAGATTATGAATTTTCTGTAAATGCATCAGAATCTTCGAGATGAACAGGTTCACGTGGGACTACTCAACGATCTTATGGAGCATATGTGGATCCACAATGGAAATCAAGGAGTTTAATGTTTGTATTGAGCACTTCAAATAAATTTTATGTTTGAACTATGTTTAAATTGTGGAAGTACCATGGTCATTTGTTTTTTGTGTGTGAAACTACTCAACTTGTGATATTCATGTGTATGATGGACATATATGAATTTGCATGGATTTGAAAGTTTAAATATGAGGAATGTGACTGTCTGGCAGGAGAAATGAGGAATCGTCCGACGCTGTTCTTGGTGGTCCCAAGTGTGTCCGCAGATATTTAGGGGGCCGAATTTGTCAAGTCCGGTAATAGATGCTCTTGTAATGTTACCATTTCGTGTTCTCAAAGTATTCTTTGTATGACCCCATTAACGTTAGGACCATTGGGCGACGTCGCGAGACTCGTGGACGATGCCAACATAAGGTTCAAAAGGGTATTCATTCTTTACATCGGTTACAACACCGGGGTACAAGTACACATCCAACAAGCATGCATTGCTCCACAATTACATACCATCATCCACGGGAAAAAAATCAAGTTCCACCAGCGATCTTCTTCCCCGTGGTAGCACACTCCTCGGATTAGTTGCTAACTCCCAACGTGTCCCTTACTTGGGGGCGAATGCCTGAAACATAACACCAAAAAGGGTCATACATCAGTACCCAAAAATCCATACATACCATATATAATGTGTTAGCGTATGCGTACCCGGAAGATGGTGGCGTGGCCGGGGTCGGCGAGGTGAGCGAAGAGGTTGTCGATGGGGCCGGTGCCGGTGTACTCGGCCTGGAACCACGCGCCCATGACGGCGAGCATGGCGAGGCGGCCGTTCTTGATCTCCTTGGTGCGCAGCTCCTTGAGCTTCTCGGGCGAGCCGGTGCCGTAGCCGAGCGGGTCAAACCACAGACCACCGGGGTACCTTACGTTTCCAACACGCAGAGACATCACTTGATTAAGCCCATGAGAGCAAGGAGAGCCATGCATGTGCAGATTAGCTTCACGTATGTGTGCGCGTACCCGACGTCGGTGCCGGTGAGCTTGTTGTTGGGGAAGATGGGGTCCGTGTTGACGCAGCCGGGCTTGATGATGTCTGCCCACCGGCGGCCCTCGGCCCAGCCGATGAGGATGAGCTCCACGATGAAGAGGGTGGTGGTGTCGGTGAAGTACTCCTGCTCCCCGGCGGTGTACCACGACGGCGTGTTGAGGATGCCGATCTTGGTCAGGAGCTCCGGGATGAAGATGCCCGCCGCGCCCAGCATCGCCCACCGGCAGTGCACCAGCTCCGCCTGCACGTTCCACCGCAAGCTCTCCGGGTCGGATCCTACACGGCAAAATCGATCAAAGATTGTTCATGTCGATGTTACCAAGAACGACAACGGATCAACACTTAGTAGGGATGAGATGTGATAGACTGATCAGAACTTACCAAGACCCCAGGGGTCAAAGCCGAAGTCTCCGGGAAGGCTGCATCAAGAACAACGAGACGTGCACACACACTGTCAGTGCCAAGAGTCGATCGCAGCATATTTCGGCATGCATGGGCGCAACGTGTCCGAGTACCAACCTGCCGTCGAGCCACGGAGGAGGGGTGCTCCCGGGGAACCAGATGGGCCTCTCGGGCGCCGCGGCGCGCACGGCGAAGGACGCGCGCGACGCCGCCGCCTTGCCGGCAGCGCCGAGGAAGGAGCTCCGGGCGCCGGCCAGCCCATTGCTGGGGAGCGCCGCGACGGCGGTGGCGGAGGAGGAGGAGACCAGCGCCATCGTTGTGCCACCAGTGCGCTCGCTGGCTGTGCCTGTAGTGGGGAAGGCGAGCGCGCGCGTGCGTGGTGTGAGAGTGGAATTGAGCGTGTGGTGCGCGCGGCAGTTTATGGGGATCTAGGCGCGCGGCGCCGGGTGGCCCTGGCTTATCCGGGAGGAGATAGCGAGCGCGGCGGTGGCGTGCCACGCGGCAGGGAGAATCCGATCCCCTGGCTCCGCCGCGCCAGGGCCTTGCTGACGTGGAGGCCATCCCGGGCACGACCTGATGAAAATCGGGGCCGAGGCTCGCGATTGGACGACGTGCTCCGCATTTGGCACGCCAGTTGCAGCCTTCAAGGCACTATCGGCATGATGATATGCGCCTATATCCACGCAGATTTTCTGTTTAGACAATGTATGCGTCCACGGAGAAAAGAAAACATGTAATCAGGGAGAAATGATAATGAATTTTTTTCCAAGGAAAGAATGAATATATTACTTCCTCCGTCCCATAATATAAGAGCGTTTTTTCTCCGTCTCATAATAAAAGAGCGTTTTTAACACTACACGAAGTACTACCTCCGTCCTGATTTATTGGTCCCCTTTGTAGTTTGTGCCAAATTTTAACTAAATATTTAACTAACAAAATGTTAATGCATGTCAACAAAAATTATATTGTTGGATTCGTATTTGCACATAGTTTTCAATAATATAATTTTTTGTGACATGCATGAACATTTTGTTAATTCAATCTATGGTCAAAATGTGGCACGAAATACAATGGAACTAATAAACCAGGACGGAGGTAATACTAGCTAGCAATAGAGGTACAGTCACAACTCATGGCCTCCGCAATTTTAATGATTAACGGACGATATTTAGTTATCGGGCGGTATTTTGGGTTCTCATCCCGTAGCAATAGTATTAATGGCCTCTGCAATAGAAATACAATCACTTCTCTTTTGTTCTAAAATCTTCTATATTTAGAATATCTAATTTTATAATGAAAATACCGATCTTTTTTGAGTTTATGGTTTACAATGCACAAACCTCACATCACAGACACTTCTTATTTATTCTAGATTCTTCCATACCTTAGTTCCCACAAGTTTTTTTCACTTTAAATAATTGTGATTCACTTTTACGTTATGATTTTCTTGTGTTCAAGGCTATGACAACACCTTCATAAATTTCATTTGTCTTTTTTTTTGCTAAATAGATTTCATTTGTCTTTTAAGATGCAATACTGCTACTCACTACAATACGAGATACCTAAAGACAACTGTGATGCATATATTTCACATGAGTTTCATGTACTATTATTCCCACGGTGTTTAAATATTTTTATAACTATAATCTGAATTCTTAAGCTCCTGCATACTCCCTCCATTCCTAAATATAAGACCATTTAGAGATTCCATTATGAACTATATATGAATGTATATAGACATACTATAGAGTGTAGATTCATCAATTTTGCTCCGTATGTAGTCCATAGTGAAATCTCTAAAAGGTCTTATATTCAGGAACAGAGGAAGTACTTTGGTATTATACCATGTAGTATTATACTATACTAGCTACTCATCCATGCTTTGGTTATCTAAGCTCCTACATGCAATATATGTGTACCTTATTAGTGGTAAAAGAGGGGCATATATGGCGAGACCAAAATATTTGTCATGTGGACAAGGTTCTTAGAAAAGTTCGGGGCTCCATCAATTAAAGAAAATTTTAGTTCCTATATGTGGGTTTTGATTACTATTTTTTTTTGGAGAAATACCAATTAGTACAACACAAATACACATAGCACACACTCACACCACTACATACATGCACTTACGCCAATGACGAAGGACGGAAAAAGATAAGGCAGGACTCTAAAGCATAATTCCTTGTATGCAAATCCAAAGTAGTCCATAAACATTTTATGTGCATAAATACTTTAATGTGATCCTAAACATATACTCCCTTTGTTCCTAAATACTATAAGTCTTTTTAGAGATTTTAATGCAAACTACGTACGGATGTATACAGACATATTTTATAGTGTAGATTCGCTCATTTTGCTCCGTACGTAATCCCTTATTATAATCTCTAAAAAGACTTATATTTAGGAATGGAGGATGGAGTAATAACCAACGGGTTTGTCTAGGGCACATTGCACATCTAGGTGCAAACTAGGAAGTAAAAAAAAGACAAAAGAAAATGTTTGCACGAATTGTCCCGTAAAATCAATGATATAGGACTTAGATGTACAATAATTAAAAAACATCTAGATGTGATATAGCAAATCTGAAGCAAATTACAATTTCAAGGAGGACAAGAAGCCGGGAGAAGCAGCCGTGGCTTTCCAAGTACTCCAGCTTTAAGACATCGTCGTGTCCGACGGTGACGGACACATGGAGCGCGTCGGGTAGGGATGAAAATGAAGTGGAAACTTTCCGTTTTTCGGGAGGAAAAATGGAAACGGAGAGGAAATATGAAAACGGAAACGGAAATTTGTAAAACGGAAGTGGAAATGGAATTTTTGATGCGGAAACGGAAACTAAAACGGAATGGTGTTTTCCGGTGGAACATGCATGAAAACGGAACTTTCCGTTTCCGTGAATATGAAATTTCTGTTTTTACTATAGACCTATAGCTGCTTTCTAGCCCAACCACTAAAGAGAACACAATGACACAATTAGTAGAATGGATCTGAGGCCCAACTTCTACTATCACACATGTACTCCGCTTGACCCTATACGCAATTGTCCGGTACTACTACAATACTACGCTAAGGTTCTAACATAATGATATTATTTTGTAGCCACGATAGAAGTCATTAAATTTGTTTGTTTTGTGTGTATTTCTCTATGATTCAAGGGATTTTAAGTTCCGATCAATGCCTATTTCTATTTTTGCGTATTCACTTTGTATTCGCTCTGTTTCCGTTTCCAATAGTATCTGTTTCCGTATTTATTTCCGGGGTTTCTGTATTCGTTTCCGCTTCCAAAAAAAAATGTGAAAACAAATATGATAGCACTCAGTTCCGTCCGTTTCCGCTCCGTTTTCATTCCTAGCGTCGGGCGTGTGTGGCGCTATTGTCGAGCAGGAGTTCGGCGATGAGGCACCCGCCGGATGCCAGTACTTCTGGCCGTCGGCCTCATGCGCCCCTCCTGCTGACCGCGGGCCTCGCACCACTCCTTCTGGCCGCCAGGAACGCGCCCCCGCGCCCCATGCGCGTCGCTCCGTGGACGCTTGTGGCTCCTAGGGTTCGTGTATGGAGCAACGAAGGAAGAAGAAGGAAGTCATGCCTGCGTGAGTCACGATCGACTATGTCTTGGACTGGAGCGAATAGCAGATTGGTGGCTGGTGCGTTGCATACAGCCCCAACAACGCCAATAGGACGAACCAACTTATGGTTGGATGGTTAGAGAGACAGTGCTATCGCAGCCCATCAGGGTTCAAGTCCTGGTGCTCACATTATTCCTGAATTTATTCAAGGTGCATAGGTGAACTTTGTAAATTTCAAGATGATATGTCGGTTCATTCTCTCGAAGGTGCTCATAGGGATAGGGTGTGTGTGTGTGCGTTCATAAGAATGAGCGTATGCACGTATGTATGAGCGCTTGCATCTGTACTATGTTCGGAAAAAAACAAGGCCAATAGCATAGGACAAGTGATTTTCTTAGCCGGTTTTTCATTCACATAAGTGTTTTTTAGCGAACTAATTTATGGTTGGGTGGTTAGGAAGATGGTGGTATTCCCAGCCGATCAGGATTCAAGTACTAGATTTGATATTGATACTTGTATTTTTTTGGATTTATTGCAGGTCTTCCGACGATATGCGTTTAGTGGAAGGAGACGTTCATGTGGATTACGAAGACATTCGTGGTGACTTTAAGATGATGTGCCAGTTTAGTCTCTCAGATGTGTCCATATAGGTAGGGCGTGCATGCGTGCGTTCATGGGGTGAGTAATGTTTGTACGTATAAGGTCTGTGTCTGGACTACGTTAAAAAAAAGTGGTTTTAGTGATGAATTTAACTTTACTATGGCTGGAAAAGAACCGTATAAAGTCAAGGTAGGGGGAGTGCTCACCCTCGTCCTAACAAGAGCTCCTCCCTTGACTCACACAACGCCTATTTAAGGTCGGGTTGAATTTGTGAAGCTTGAAGATTGACGAATTCATCGCAGACGCTTCAATATCGACACTGACTACGCCTCCCACACCGTCATCAGTATTGATGTTCAGGGCAAGTGATTTGGGGCTAATGGTCTTCGTGAGTTATATGTTCAGGGCAAGGAATTCACCGGCTTCAATTTCCTAGTCCACTTCTTGTGGCATAGCCCAGTGGCCCCAGCCAGGCATCTCAGCATGATCATCATCTTCTGCGATGTCCTCGTCAATCTCCATGTTCTGAGCTGCATTAAGATCAACGTTCAGAGCCAACTGAAGGTTAAGTTGGGGATCATGGTGCTCATCATGTTCGTGATGTTGTAGAGGCCCAAGAAAGTGATTGTGTTGGTTGGGATGATAATTTGCTTGAGGGGGAATAGGATGCGGATTGCCATTAGGATCAATAGGATCTTCATCTGGAGCGTCCAAACCAAGGATTTGTTGTTGCAGAATCACTACCGACACCAAGAGGGATTCAGTCTGGAAATCATATCCCTCTCCAAATACAATGCTAGCTGGAATGTTGCTGAGCTCTTACACCCTCACTTTCACCATCAGATTAGCCCTAGTACTCCTGACTCGGTCCCATTGGAGAAACTTGCCAAATTTACTAACCGCATTGCTCGCTTCTTGAATATTTCTCCTGTCAAAAGGATAACCACATAACAGAATCCAAGCTTCTTTGTTTAACACTAACCTCCTGCAATTCATGCCTCCGTTGTGTTTCTCAAAAATAACATGGACATCTGTGAACATGTGTGGGCTGTTGGAAACCAGAGAATCTCTATCAAAGATGCTATTCAGTTTGACATAGGATTGGCCGAGAGGACACGGCTCAATCTCAGAAAACCCCAACTGCCTGTCAGCAAGAAAATCAGCGAGTACCTCTCTGATGGTCTGGAATGCTACCGAAAGATCGGGCATTGGAACAATAGTAGCAATCGCCCATTCCTCGTGCGTTGCCGGCGCGGCGTCGGTGATGACCCGGATCCTAGCAGGGCGCCCAACAACTTCCACGCTCTGGTGATTAGGAGGAAGAAATGGAGCGGGATTGAATGGGAATGAGGCCATGGTCGTTGGGTCGGGGGTTGGGGCTGCAGATGTGTTCGATGGTTGCCGCCGGCGAGGGTCAAGAGGAATTGAAGCTAGGCGCAGTCAATGGGCAATGGAGTTTTGGGAAGTGCAAAGATTGAGGCTGCCACCCCGGAGAGATAGAGGAGAGGCATTAACTGGGTTGCTCTGGTTGGTCGGTTGACTAGGTGCTCGTGTAGTCTCCGTCGCGGGAACAGTGGCGACTTGCCTCGGAATTGGATACGTCGGGACTGGGCTTGAGCTCTTATCGTTGTTGGATGTGGGCCTATTGAGCGAGAAACAGTCTTTGGCGATATGGCCCCATCTCTTGCAGGCCCTGCATTTGATTCTGTTGTGGCAATTGGGCCGTGCATGGCCCGTCATGAGACAGCGCACACATAACTCTTCGGATGGGCCTTTTTGAATATGCGAGGATCCCGCATGATTGGAGTGAACAGAATTATGATTCGCATGAATACCATGAGTAATGTTGCCCTACAATTGCGTGGAGTTTGAAATGTTGTCAGTGGATCTAATAGATCTAGGATTGGATCGAGCCTGATCATGATAGGATGCTGGTGATCTAAGGGCTTGAAGGTATGATTTGCGGGGATGATCTCTGAAAATGTGAGTCCAAGCATCCTCTTTCTCTTGGAGATACTGATCTAGTTCCCAGGAAGAGTTGGGTCCCCCATTACCCCAGAGCAAGAAATTGACATTGAGCAGGGGGAGAGTGATGTTACCTCCCTTGATGATCGAAAAACCCACTTCTTTGGATGAGACAGAGAACTTGAAAGACCAGTTTTGGAGTAACTTGACTTTGAAAAGGGAGGCACGACCACCGAAGCATGAGAGAAGAATGGTGCTCACAGATTCTTCCGTAAGCCTGATCCTGGATCTGGTGAACTCCGCAACGAGGAGAAATTCCTCCATATCCTTACCTTCCTCATAGTTGATAGGGACTCCCCACTTCCGCCATACTTCCGCTGCGAAATCTTGACCGACGTCAAAGTTGAGGCCGGCGAGAGCCATGGGTGAGTTTGATGGGAGGTCGAAGGTGTGTGTGTGGTCGCCGGCGCCGGAGTAGCGGTCAGCGATGGCGGTGGCCGCCGCGGCCGGAGTGGCCAGGCGCTAGGAGCGGAGGGCGCTAGGAGATCCAGTAGGGCTAATGGTCTTCGTGAGTTATATGGACATGCCCTCTTCCCCAAAGTGAAGAGGAAAATAAGATAGCACATGTAAATTACATGCATCTTTCTTTTCATGATCGAGTCCTAGTGAAGTCATACTATTGATTTCTTCTTTACGATTGAATCCTAATTAAGCCGTACTATTGATAGGAGTAGGGTGCAGTATTTTTTCCTTCCAAAATTCCACAAGTCTGAAACCGAGGGAACCTCTAGATTCTGTGCACATCGGCCCTACATTTCTGTCGGTGTGGTAACAACCCTATTCTTTTGAAAATAACACCTGCTCCGATAATGGCAGACGATATCAAATCTTGTGATAGATCACAAAAAGAGCAGAGCTATGTGATGTGCACACCATGTTGCATCATCAAATAGACCGCCTCACAGATTTTTCCCCTGTCTACTCACCTTTTCCTCCACTAACTTGCAATCTCGACATTCATCATACACCAAAACAAATGAAAAAGGCATGTGACCCAGAAAAGAAACGAAAGGGAGTGCGCACCAGCACAAACACCTTTGCCGACCCGGGAGAAACTGTCGGTAGAACTGAGCAACTCCTTCGTGTCCATGATTCTATACAGTAGATAGTTCGACGAATATCTGGATAGACTCGCCGATGTTTCATACGGTACATCGTTTGGTCAAGTACATAACTGATCAGATGCCATAAAACAACATCCCTGATAACAGATCTGTTATTGGTAGTCGGGCGCGCGGGGTTTGCTGTGGAGTTCCTCGGCGGAATTTGTATTGCATCATGCCCAAAATTCTAGTTTTTGCCCAATCTTGCATTATTCTGAGATGTCCGGAGTATAGTAAGGAACTGTGTACCTGTGTTCATACCTCCTTGAAAGGTACGCTCTTCTTGGACCCATGCTTGGCCTTGATCATCTGGTTCAAGGCCTTCACGCACCGGCGGACGATTCCCGGCGACTTCTTCTTCCCTCCGTCGGGCCTCCTTATCACCATGGCCAATGTTGTGCCGCCAGCTGCTGCTGCTGCTGCTCTATGGTCAGCAATGGCATTCTCCCCGTAGCCCAAGTCCCTGCCAGCTTTTGCTTCTCCGGTGCCAAGCTGCTTCTCCCGTATCAGCTCCAGGAGGGAAAGCCGTGGCACGTCACCCGCAGGTGGCGGCGTGATCGGCTTCTTCACGCTTAGGCGCTGCGCCAGGGTCTTCTGCTTCGTGTCTTGGCCTCCCCGCGGTGCCTTTTGTTCCTCATCTTGATGTTGCTCTGATGTTTTCTCATCTCCGTCTTGATATTGCTCTGATGCCTTCTCATCCCCATCTTGGCATTGTTTGCCTGTCTTCTCTTCCTCGTCTTGGCATTTCTCTGGTGCCGTTTGCTCCTCAACATGGCATTCCTCTGATGCCTTCTCATCTTGGTATTGTTGTGCTATCTTTTGCTCTTCATCAAGATATTGCTCCGGTATGTTTTGCTCATCCTCTTCCTCCTCCTCGTCTTGGTATCGCTCTGGTATGTTTTGCTCCTCCTCCTCGGTCTCCAACTCCTCATCTTGGTATTGCTCTGGTGTCTTTTGATCCTCCTCCAACTCCTCATCTTGGTATTGCTCTGGTATGTTTTGCTCCTCCTCCTCCTCTTCCTCCTCTTCCTCCAACTCCTTATCTTGGTATTGCTCCGGTGTCTTTTGATCCTCATCTAGGCATTGCTCTGGCGCATCATCATCTTGCTGTTGCTGTCCTGTCTCCTCCTCATCTTGATATTGCTTTGGTACGTTCTGCTCCTCATCTTGGTGCAGATGTGGTTTCTTCTCCTGCTCTCCATCTTCATATTGCTGTGGTTTCTTCTCTTGCTCATCTTGATATTGCTCTGGTGCCTTCTTCTCAACACCTTCACACTCCTGTGGTGCCTGTGGAATCTCCAGCTGCTGCTCTGCATCTTCACATTGCTGAGGTGCCCGCAGCTCTTTTATATCTTCGCACTGGAGCAATCTCTTCAGCTTGGCCTCGTGGAGCAGCTGTCGTGCCAGGGGCGGCACATACCGATCTTCATAACAAGCGACGAGGCTCACTGGTTTTCGTGTCCGCCTCGACATGCCGCGATCGAAGCGGCGAGATTTGTTCACCTCACACTCGGTGGCCATTGTTTGTGGTCTGAGGAGAAGATCACCAGAAAGAGTGCTTGCTCCTTCTGTGGGATGGTGGAGTTATAGGTCGACTGATATGCTGAGGTGTGCAGTCTGTTCTGTGAACAGGTGAACTGGTGGAATGTCTCTTTCAAAGGTTTTGTCTGATTTGTTCATTTAGAAGATATGTACCTGTCGTAGTAGCCTTTCATTCCTCCATGAAGTGGGATTGAAGTTAGCATTCGTAAGCAAGGGGCCAATATTCTGGCTCAAACATTTGAAATATTTGTCCAGCTTTCATTGCACAGCGGTCGTACTATGTTGGATGACAGTATACCGTGAACCACTGTACAGGGGAATGATAAAAGGTAGGCAGAGTTCTAGAAATAAACATCATTCATGTATGATTGAAGCCATGCCCAACAACCTAGGAATGATAGCCAGCGAAAATTTGGTTTCAAGTGAAAGATTTGACTCGTAGGCTTTTCGTAGTTTGACTGTGATATGTGACAGTTTTTGGGTCACTGAAACTTAAGTACTATCACGATTTTTTTCCTTCAAAAACAAATCAAGTGGGCAAAATTCATATATGATCTAATGGCATGACCTGATGCCAAGTTCCAATAAGTAGGATTTCGGTATCTTGCTCACGTAATCGAAGAAGCGACCCTGAAGAATTGCTAGGGGTAACTTCGCGAAGTAAACCATAAAGGCTAATTCTGCACCTAAACATCAAAATAATGCTCGAGCATAAAGCACATGTTTATGTCACAACTCAGATTAATGTATTGGTCATTTTCCAACTTATATCTCAGGATACATACAAGATTATTCATTTACAGAGTCAATTTTTCTTATTTAGTTACACAAAGGACTCCCTATCTTGCAAACCTCAATGTCCATTCAGCAGCTATTTCATCATGCTTAGCTCTATCAGTCAGGTACAGACGTGCAATGCTCTCCACAAGTGGGTTGTCTGCACAGACAAAAACATCATAATGTTAGGCTTTCCAGTAGAAACGAAGCAACAACTATGTAGATACTATACAGTAAGTATTAAAATACTCCCTTTTCTAAGTTCAGAAATTAATACTGGTAATGTTGGAACATACATGGATCCGGATTTGTGATGATGGCTTTGATCGCCAGTAGCACCTTTGAAATAGTTAAAGCTGGACTCCAGCCATCCTTCAAAATTTCCAAACTCACTGCCCCAGTGGAATCAACATTGCAATGGTAAATCCTTGTTTTGAAAGTCACCTCGAAGAGTCACAGCACAACTGTCAGTTTGTCACCGCAAGTTAAGGTCCCCCGGTGCTAAATTATACTACCGGGTTCCAGCAATTAAATCTAACACATTAGAGTAGAACATAAAACAATGTAAGAATACTTATAAAATATAACTGTCAGATATAAAATCATGACAATCATTGGTTGTAAAATCACAAACATCAGAGCCGTACAGCATATATGTTGGTATGCTACAGCCTACAGTATAGCAGACAGATCTTTTATTTTACAAAACCTTGAGAAAATTCACATGCTCCTGCCTTATTGTTTGGACTATAATTGTTGTGGTGACCTACATTTCGTTTATGCATGGTGCCATATGCTTGTCATGGTAAATGTAGCACTCTGTACAGCTGTGGGGTAGGTGAAAGTAGTGTTAGCATTGTTCCATTGCTGAGATCTGAAAATGGAGGTTGGCTGTTTCTGACCCCTCCCGTCTCAACCTACCACCAAGTCATCTGTCAAAGGTAATAATTGGACCTCCAAACCATGGTGCCAGCGGATGGATACTGATAAATCGATACGGCCAGTAAATAGACAGATATGTTATATGTGTATCATGCTTTCTAATTTACAAAATTATCACAGACTTGTGCTCTAAGCCAAGATATGCCAATACAAACAATATGTCAACAAAGGATAAAGGTGATCTCAATCACACAGTAATAAGGCTTCCGGTGGACAAAATCCTTTTCCAGAAAATCTTTTCTCGGCAAAGCATTAGCTAAAAGCTTGCCACAACATAGGTCAGGAGGACACCTAAGAAAACAACATCTCAGCAACCACACACAATTATTTTTCCTGAATAGCAGCTGTAAAATAAAAACTTCAGATATGTTTCTTTACACATGACCGACATTATGACGGAAAGATGCATAATGTCTTATTACACTCAAGGCATCGGCAAACATACGTCACTTCAGAAGAAACAAAAGCAACATTTCTTTTGGCGGGTAAACAAAAGCAACATTAATTAGCAGCGAAGTAAACTCGCTTTTACATAATACTTTTCTTTTAATCTATGCTCTTTAGAGTGTTCTAATCCTTGCTGGTTTCTCCATGCTTCCACAAAATTTCCTATTGAGGTGTTGTTTCTGGATGAATCTTGATTCTTTGACAGACAGCTCGATACAGCTTCCTCTTTCTAGGCCTTTTTTATTGAATAACGGTAGTAGGCTGTGGAAGTTTGGGGACAACAGACTTCTATGATGGATCTCCTTCCTAATAATTTACTAATGCATATTAAATCTCATCCCTTTGGCCATACACTATATTAGTCTGTTTACATGTTATGAAGACCGGTCTTAATGAAAACAAATCAGATTCCAAATACACAATAAGAATAATAACATTCTTTACGAACTATTTTGAGGTCGTACTTGAGTATTTGAATATGCAAATATCACATTCTCTTAAAAAAATCACATTCCTTCTACAGAACTTAGGTTTGCAACATCTGAGGATTGTTTTTTTCTAGAACCAGGGGGATATTGCTGCCCTCCTAACTCGGCTAACCTACACATCACATAAGAAAATACTGTAGTGGCAAATGAAAGAAGGTTACTTATCAGTTCTTACCATAGGAGGTTTGAAAGGATAATCAAGTGGGAAAACGATATCAAGGAAAAATATCCCTCCATCATATGGTGACCCTACAAGAAAAACACCACATTAAACCAAATTACGGGTGCCTTTCGATATATTAAGTTAAACCAAATTACGAGTGCATACTTTATTACTCCCTCTGTTCACTTTTGTAAGACGTTGGAGACAATTCGGACATCACCCAAAATAGTTCAATGAACTGTCTGAAACGTCTTATAAAAGTGAACGGAGCTAATTTAAACATGGATGGATGGCACAATTTAAACAAGTATATAAAACTAAAGTTCCTAAGAGCTTCTCCCTGTCTTGATTGGGCTAGTGGCGAAGAGGAAGTGAAAAGGATTCCATAATCTTATACCTTGGGGTCCAATGATGGTGGAGAGCCAGTGGTAGAGGTTGTCGCCCTTGGGACCGGCGGAGCAGTCGGAAGCATTGAGGTCCAGCAGCTCCTTCTGTATCCGCTTCCCCGACGACGAGACCGACGTCCCTCCGCTCGATCCCCACGGCCGCACGCTGCTCCCGCTGCCTCCGGCTCCGCTTCCGCCGGAGGCTCCAGCACCGGCGCCAACGGCGGCGAAGGGGAAGCGGGAGCCGGGGAAAGATGACGAAGACATGACTGCGGCCAGTGGCAGAGCAAAACCGAATAAGGTGAAATCTGAAGAACTGTCGCTGAGAAAACTGCATCATCAGTTCATAGCTCACAAATCACAAGCTCTGGAAATTCGGAACAGACCTTTAATCCTAGTGCTGTTCGGACCTCAGTCTACACTTAGCTTCAGCTTTCGCGCCGTCCCTGCCGCGCGGCTGCAGCGCGGCACAGCGACGCCCTGCCGCTGGCACGCTGCTCGCTTGACCTTAACGCCTCGACGGTGCACGGCCGCGCCGCCCGCCGTCCGACGTCGCCGAGCTTAGGTTGCCGGGGAAGAATGGGTCAACGGGGAATTGGGGATTTTCTCCTGATTCCTTTGGCGGCTGGCGTAGTGGGCTTCAGTGCTTTCTTTGTGGCTCAGCTAGCTAGCCCATTGTGGAAAAGGACTTGGTAAAACTCTTTGCATTTAGGCCCAGAAAATAAAAGTATATTTAGGCCCGGCTTTCTGTGGGGCGATATACCGGAAAAAGGTTTCCCCGCTTTGTATTCCAAAGCAACCAACCGTACACATAGCATTGCTGGGAGAGCAACACATCAAGCTCAAAGAAAAAGAAGAAACAAATGCCAACATCGGCAGCTTGACAAAAGCGCGGATGACCCGCCACCGCTGCGCCCTTCGGAGACGAACCACCACAGCCTGAGGCTCCGATCTGCCGCGTACCAAGTAGCACCTTCAAGAAGGGATGCGACGCCGACGAGCTGCTACCCGGACGAGTCCTAGGGTTTCCCCCGGCTCGTAGAGGGAAGTGGGGGTTGGCTACCACCGACACCCTTCAAGAAGGAATGGTGGCACCGCATTGGAGTCGGACGAACCGGCAAGGATTTCTCCCGCACTTCAAACCCCACCGCCCAACCGAAACCGACCAACCAAACCACCGCCCAACACCATGCGCCATCGAGGTTGCGCTGCCACCCACATTGTCTTACTGCGAGCACCAACACGAGGCCAAGAAGAATAAAGAGAAGTGCCAAGCGACGGGAGCAGCAGCACCAAGGCCGAGCGGGAGGGAACCACCTCCACCGCCGTCGTGCGGGAGGCCCGCGCCTCCGGTACCGTTGCGGCCGGTAATATACTTTGGGCTAAGAGTATAGGACATCAAATGTGGAGGCTGGAAATCTTGCAAAGCATGCTTTAACTCTAGGGAATGGTCGCAGTGTTTAGTTAGGCCAGCCCAACGATCTTGTCTTCGTCCCGGTAAACATTGGGGCGTTTTGCTATGCAGTAATAAAGCTTTGTGAGATCCTAAAAATGAAACGCTGAGCTAAGATCCTGAGCTCTCACAGAAAAGGAGGAAGAAGCTGGCTCAGTTGTACACCTGAAATAAAGATATGTGCAACACAAAATTTGGATCTTCCAACGTTTCAAGAAAGTAGCCCTTCCAGGATTAAAGTTTTCCAACTTGACATTCAAAATAAGTGCACCTTGCTCATTCATTCCTAGAACAATTTCTTACCAGAGATACATGTCATCTACCTCAATACACTGAGACCAATATGGCTCCCTATTCTAAATAATGACAAGAGGCGCGAGAAATTCGACACATCTCATCCGAAATACAACATACAGTACAATGTTTTACATGAGAAGTACAGCAGGCAGAAGCACGGCAGCTAGGTAAGTCAACCAGCAAGACTGGGATTGCGAGGCAAAACTGTCTTGGCTCACAGGACCAGCAGCCGCATCACCACTGCTGCCATTGGCACCGTTGCTGCACGTAGAACCAAACCTCATCGTCAGTATAGAACAACAAAAGAAGTTTGAGCTTACAATAACACCAAGGAAAATGCGACTCACCTTCCTGCGAAAACACATGATCCATGGCCTGCAAGTTTACATTCAGGAGGAAATTTGTTTAGGTTCATGTCACAAAATAAAGTGGTAATAGCAAAGATCGTAACAGTTAACACTTGAATAATAAGACAGAAAATTCAGCAAAGAAATGGATACTCAAGAGACAGTTCAGCTTACTTGGATCCGTAGATGATATGGTTGCTGTGCCATTAAAGTTGCATGTACCGCCACTCGCTTGTGTTCTATGATAATAATCGTTGAATGCATACGAAGCAACAGCTACAATGTCATCTGCTTTATAGCATTGCTGCCCAGGTTGAATGGCACTGCAGTTTGCGGAGCCAGGGCCACATACCCAATCCAAGCTTTGCTTCAATGCACTATGGGTTGCACTTGAATTTGCCACACAAAACATCCCGCGCAAACCCGGCGAGTCAGTGTTATTTGTGGCCACATCTTCAAATGTCAGGGAGTACACCGCACTTGCGTTGGTAAACATAATGCCCCAACTTTGCTCCGAAACAGGTCCAGCCCGACGATCCTCGTTGAACAGCTCAAATAGGTATGTGCTTACTTGGTTATCTGGCTGGCTAGGTGTACCAGAATTATTTAGCACATGGCGTATGAGATTTGTATTGTAGGCCAGAGCATTGTCAACATCAGCAGCCGGCTCATTTCGTCCACCACGCCATGGCCAACCAGAAGCTGTGACTATAACAGAAATATTGGTGAAATTCATGGCTTTCATCGAGTTGTACGCAGCATCAACCATAGCATCAAACATGTTGGTATAGAACAAATTAGTGTTGGGATCCGCAACCTGACTGTTGGGATTGAGTGATCGGAACAGGGCATACTCCAAAGGGAACACACCTTGCCCTCCCACATAGCTATAGTATGGTTGAGCATTCAGCATGAAGGAAGATCCTGTACTCTTCAGAAACTGAAGATACGGAAGCATTATTGAGCTCCACGTCGAGTTGAAAGTGGCGGTAGAGGGAGGAAATGCCTTGGGAATCATATCCATTGAGTGAGGACTTGATAGTTTCACTTGGGTATTGAGGTTCGCAGCCAACAGTGCTGACTGGAGGAACTGCAATGCAGGTACCAGAACAAGAGCTGCATTTGGGAGAGTGGAAAGAACCTCATCGCCCACGGCGATATACGTGATGTTTGTAGCCGGAATGTAGGCAGCAACATTCTTGTTGACCCAATCAACAGCTGCCGGACGAGACTGCCCCACACGGAGCAGCTGATCGTTTGGCACACCGACCATCACTTCGATTCCGGTGTTCGCGAGGGCGACAAGCATCTGATGGTCTGAATCAACCAAGCGAACATGTTGGATCTTCATGGCTTTAAGGGTGGAGACTATGTCTGATGCTGATGGCAGGTCTGACACCCCAGTGCCAATGTTGATACCAACAAATGCTCCTACAATTGAACAGAAAAACAGCAACCGATTGTTATGCGACGAAAAATTAGATAGAAAAGCAGATATATGATTGTACACATCCAGGAAATTCTCTTCAGGTTTCTTTATCGATTTTTTCCCTTCAGTTCAGGGCAAACAAAGTATGTTTTCCTCAAAACTAGCCACTGGCACAGTGGGGAATCAAAATGCCAGATGCATAGACACAATGAGATGCTAATCATGTGCAGAGCACCGTGTAATTTAATACAGCATGCATCCATGTGCTAGTAAGTACCTGAAGCGTTGAAAAGCATGAGCATGAACAGCGTCGCCACGGCCTCTGGTCTCCTCGGCGACATTATTTATGATCTACTAGGGGCTTCTTGCAGACTCTGGATCCAAGCTGAAATATCAATTCAATCAATCATTTTACAAGAACAGAAACTACTAAGCACAAAACTCCTGAAATGCAAAATGAATCTGGGGAGAAATTAATGATGCGAAATGCTCTTATTGAAAAATGACGCGAAATGGTAGCAATGCATTCACACAAGTGCATAATAAGCTGCGCTCTCTCACCTTGGTATGAACTCAGATCGATCTTGCGCGCTGAAAAGGAAGAACCATCGGACCATGGACGGATGGGGCTGGGCCAGTATTCGGGGGTGCCCGGACGCAAACAAATCGGCGAGTAACCGGACCGGGCGGAAGAGTGGTAGTGATTTCGATCTCGGTTGCTCGCTCCCTGCAGCAAAGAAAGAACCCCCGGGACGAACCGGAGGGGAGATCGAAGAGCAGCGAGTGAGACGGCGGATTTGGGGGCGGAAAATCAGAGAAGGCAAACAGGCGCAAGGCTCCAAGAAGCGCAGCAACAAATGCGGCGACATCGCAATCGCGAGAAGAGGACGGCGGCAAGCAAATGGGGCAAACAAACCACCTGGTATCCCGCTGGTCCCCTCCGGAGCCCTCCCTGCTTCCTCCTCCGCCGCCGGCTCCCTCGCCGCGAAGAGAAGAGATCGCCGCACGAAGGAAGAAGCACTTGTCCTCCTCCGGAGAAGGAGTAGTGCCAAGCAAGAAGCGGGCCACGCCGTAGACTCACGGGGAGCTCTGCACTGAGCCACTGACACACAGAGAATGCGAGGAGCTGCGCGTATCCGTGCAGCGAGCTGCCTCTGCTCTTGGCTGGCTCCCTGGCTTCTGTGTCTTGGGAGTTTAACTTACTCTACTCGTAATTAAGCGTACTTGAGAGTGGCGACGGGAGTAAAAAAATGCGAGGGTTTGACTGAAGAGCTGCGCGTGTTGTAGATCCAACTTGGGAGGTGATGCACGCGGTGTTTAGAAAAGGAAAAAAGAAGGGTGGGGGAGAAAAAAGAGCCCTTTTGTAGCCTCTGGGACATGGTAATGGTGTGCCTGTGTGACATTATTATTACTGTATTAAAAAGAAAACAAAAGAAAAGCGGTGTGGGATGACTGGGCAGTGTGCAGGTTCCAGAGCAGCGGATAAACGGTCAGCCTTTCTGTGGGCACACTCGTGTGACCACGCCGTGTCTGGGCTCTTTAAAGAGGTAATAGCACCCAGGTATCTTAATTTGCACACAATATGATGATTTAGTCCCAAAGTTGTAAAACTACATCAAATCATACCCCAATTTGCATCCAATGTAATGTTTTAGTCCCAGGCCAATCAGAGCTCGCCAATTGGCTGCCAAGCGGCTGGGCCGGTCAGCGCTGGCAGTTTTGCACAAAACCCCCTGCCGTT